CTGTACAATGTTATGAACCACTGCATAAATAAAAACTTTAAATTGCTATTTAACCTGCCATTTACGTTACCTTACAAAGTTTCATGCTACATTCAACTGCTATCTTGTTGACTATTTATTTTAACTTGAGATTTCCTAACTTAATTAAAAGAAATGTCTGAAGGCACATTACACTCAACAATTACCTCCCCCCAGATTATTTTTAAAAGTGCTCCAAAATAAGGCCTGATTTCAGGGTCCCCTCTCCCATTACTTGGAATATGTTATTCTGAAGAGTAATAAAACAGTTTAGTTTTGCTTATTGCAAGAATACTACTAGGAAGTGAATATAAAGACTGTAAACTTTACAAATTTAACAGATTAAATATAATTATAATCAAGACTGGAGGACCTGAAAGGCTAACCTACCAAGTGGTAACACATTAGATGAAACATAACTTTAAAAAAAATTACCAGAAAATGATAAAATGATAATCATCCATTTAGCATTTTTACACAATAATGCAAAGTTTAATATAAATTTAAAATCAATGAAACACCACATTTTATTTCTGAAGATTCAAAACATACTCAAAATGAAAACAGGGAAATTGTTTAATTTTCAAGAGGAACAGTTCATTAAATGTTCCAGAAATATCCCTCATTACAAAATGGTTCTCTGTGTAAAGCTTGAAATACTACATAAGATATGAAGCAAGACTACTAATGCCTAAAACACTTCACTGGAATAAAATCAGATCCTCAAAAAAAGAAAGGACTCTCATTACTAACTGAAATACTGCCAGTAATTACCAGATTCCCTCTGGCTATCAAGAAAACAGGTGGTTTAAGTCTAAATTTGGGCTAATGTTACCTATACAAATTCCAATGTGTATTTTCTACTTTCAGAACAACTCTACATCTAAGGAAAGTATAAACAAAACTTTCTAGCAAAGTTCTAGAATTCTCAAATGCTTTGAGATTTAATGTAGTTGTTCCTTTACCTCTAAATTATGTAAGACTAAATACATGACACAAAAAAGCATGTGTAGTTAGGACTTTTCCACTCAACCAGCCATTCAACATAATAACTGTGAGCAGGAATTCTCAGTTATCAGATTATATAAACCCTACATTATTCTTGCACTTGGTAAATCATGGAAGAGATGGGAAGGAAATATATTTCAGAGTAAAATGGCACAAAAGATCCCCCACAATATTCATGTCAGGCTACCCTGGATCTTATAAAACAGCATCTACAACCTTTTCTTCATATAGTATGTTCTGAAGAATCAAAAGACTGCACTGTAATTTTCAAATGTACTTTGGTTTATTTTCACTTCAGATTCTCTTAATCTTTGACTTTCTCAGAGAACAGCGAGTACAGATGTAGGACGAGTTAAAATTCACCTGGAAAGAGCTCTTGGTATTAAAAATAAACTTAAGTTTGGAAATTGTGGTAAACTGTTGGGTTTAACTTTTAAAACATAATGCACCTACTGTCCTTGTTTGCAGACACAAAAGTTTTCAAAGCTGTACCAGAGACATCGCACAGCATGTAAGAAATCTTTCTCATTCACTGGATAAAGGAGACAACACTGGTAACTACAAGAAGATGTATTTTCTTAAAGAGCTCTCTGCACTTCTTGAATTCATTTGAACACTAAACACATCTCACTAAAACAATAGGTTGCTTGAATTAAATAAGATAATCAGTTTTACTGGAAAATGTTAAAATATAAACTGCCTAATTAAAACAGCAACGGATACAAATTTAAATTCCTATCTAGAAGGAGAGCTAAAACTATTGCTAGGGATTTTCTTACTAAATTAAATAGGAATGTCTCTCTTCCTTATTCTAAGTGAATGACAAAATAAGCAATATACTGGAACAGCACAGAGGGGAAACTAACATGAAATCCATTAAGAACAACAAACTGAATAAAAAGATAAATATTTTTCCTCTAGTCTTTTACAGATAAGCAATTTTATTCACAAAAATGTTATATAAAGTTACTCTTTGAATAGGCTGCTAATGATCCTTTAAAAATACCTGAAAAAAATTATTTTGCTCAAGATCAAACACTGTTCTTATAAACACATGCAACTGTTGAAGTATTAGTATAATAAAGAATATCACCTCTGGATTAGTAATTGGAAGAGAAATGAAATAATTAGGCCGATACTGCTTTTTCTTTTTCTTCTTTCTCTCACTGCTGTCTTCAATTTCCTTCCCAGTAGTTCTCTTTCTTTTATTTTTTGTGTTTTTTTCAGAGATTGCATGTACTGAAGAAAAAAAAAAAATTACTTTCAGCATACAGATAAATCAAAATAAAAATACATTATCATGCCAACAGGAGAAGCTGGACTTCAGTCAACCAACTAGGGTATGTCTTCCCAGTCATCTGATCTGCCCACACTCTAGACTGATTGGGATCCTACTCCAACCTGAATTAATGTAGTCTTATAAGTGGAGTATCATACTTGAGCTAACAGCCTACACCTCTAAGCAGGGCTTATAAACTGCTAACACAGACACACAGATTCCAAACTACCATGTTTTACTCAGCCAACTCACACTGTAGCATAATAGGCCTGCAAATTGATTACACTTGAACACAGACGTGACTTTAGAGCAAAAGGGCCAATATTAAATTTCAAAAATCCCACACATGCTGCATTTTGAAATACAAACCACATCTCTCTCTATATATATATATACATATATATATATATATAAAATATAATAAAACACACATATATAATGCATAGGATTATTAAAGGAAAAGGTTGTATTAAACTAGGACTGGACAACCTACAGTTCAAGGACAGAATGTAGCTCAGAAGAAAATTTAATCCAAGCCATATCTACTCTCTACCTCCTCCATAACCAAAGACACCTTTCAACACAGTGAAAGAAAAGTGTGTGCTCTCACTTCTTTCTTTGCACCATAAACTATTTTTCTCTCAACTTATTTCCTCAATACTTTGCAGACCCTCTCCCACCACGTGGTCTGACACATACCCATACACTGACCAGCTTCAGATATCCACTGTCCAATTAAGAGGAGCACTTCCAGCCCCACTCTAGGAATACACATATTGGAAGACAGCTCATAAAAGCCACCACATGAGAAGCTCATATACAATACTGTGAATTGACATACAAGACATCTTTATTCTGTGACTCATTGCTGCAATGGATCACAAAACAGTAAATTTTTTAATATGCTCAAGTATTTGCAGGAGTGAGTACTAGTAAGAGAGGCCCTGGACCGGATCCTGTTTGCCCAGAGACTGTGTTCCATGCACACAGACCACTTGTGCATGCCAACAGGCAGGACCAAGAAGTAGGTGTGTGATGTGTCTATGCTTCCACACTACTTCTGTTTAATATACTTACTAACAAATTCATCTTCAATATCTGTGTCGACAAACGGCATTTCTGCCATCAGCGATTCTACCAAATCAGCAGGACATGACTCTTTACTCTGTTGTGTCCTTTTATTATTCTCTTTAAAGATTTTCTTTTGCTGTACATTTTCCAGCCCATCTGTAATACAATATTTAAAATAACACACTGAGTTTTAGTTTTTTATATAAACAGCTGAGACATTATACATAAGCAATATACCAAGTATACATTTTTCTAATTATCAGCAAATGATAATTGACATATAACCCCCTTAAGAATTCTACTCTTCTTCCTTGTCAACTTATCCGCAAAACCACACTTCATGGTGAAGAGAAAAAAAAAAAAAAAGAGTTCAGCCTCTCTTTATTTAATAACTTATGGTCTTGTTCAGTTCTAAGCAAATGCAATTCTGTGCAAAAGACGAGATATTTAGAGCTGAACACAAAAAAGAAAGTCTTGGGACATCACGTAAAGTTTACTTCAGATAACAGTAACGGCATATGAAATTCAGTGCAGACAAACACTGTCAAATGAATTCCAGCATAAAAACACTGAAAATGAGGCATAAAGGAGCAGGAAGGGAATCCTACCATTCCACATGTAACAAAGAGTTCTCAGCTGACTATATCATTCAGGAATGAGATGATTATTCTACTACTGCATCTCCCACACAGTACAGTATGTTATAGACAGCAATGATCTAAACTTCTTGATCTAAAACCTGACTTCCAGTATTTCAGCTAAAGAGGAACCAATATAAATCAAAACTCATCTTGTATGTATAAAGATAAACATGAAGTTCTATCTCAGATTAATACTACAATGACAGAATAATCTCCACTAATAAGCTTTTAAAAAAATCTTTTTCCCCAAAAGTACTGAGTATGAGCCATTTCTTTATGTCTGCTTCATGTTTCTGCATCAATAAAGTCTAATGCTGGCAGCTGTACCTTAAAAAATGAAAAGTAAAATCTTCTCTAGCAGCAAAAAATGTGCACATAACCAGGCATCCAGCAATATTCTTTTGGGACAACTCTACAATGGGACTACTGTAGTGGAAGAAGCCTTATGTCAGAATTGCAGTTTATCCCAGGACAGCTCATTACTACAGACAACACACTTTCAAAGCTCCTCTTGTGACCAGTGCAGATAGCCCAAATCTGGCCCAAGGGGAAAATTGGCAGCAAAAGTTCATATTATGTACTTGTGGCATGCAAAACTACACTACATGTAAAAATTCAGTACTATAGACCCAATCTGGATTATCAACTCTGTGGAGTGTTTCTTGCATATATCACTTTATGCTAGGGAAGACAAGAACAACCTGATTAAATGCTTATTCACTCCAGTGTAAAGTAGGGAGGCATGAATCACTCTGTGGTTGTGGTCTCACATATAACTTTATCCCAGAGGCTATTAAAAAGAAACAAAGTATTTAGATTTGCTGCTTCTTCCTCCTGCAGACACTAAAGGGCCATGCACAACAAACAGATGTTAAAAGTAATGATAAAATTATTACTTAACATTTAGATTAAAGCTCACACAAAACAGATTGTTGCTGGTGATCCACAAGCATACAGAAAATAACAATCCTTCCTTCAAAGAGGTCTCCAAGTGAAGGCCAAGACAGAAATCCATGAAAATGATGAACAGGTAGGCCAGTCTGGGGCAGAAAAGTTATCAACAAGATTCAGAAAGGCAGAATCATAACCAGCTAGAAGCAAAGGGTATTTGTTAAGGTAGAATCAGCTGCAGAACAAAGACTCAAATAAATCCATGGGGTGTATATTGTAGATTATGTGTTTCCTTTGCTCTGTCTGCTCAAAAAGCAGTAAACTTGTGCCACTTCAAAAAAATCTGTCTGCTCACAGTAGCAGATTGGCATAGCAAAGTCACAGCTAGTGATTAACAGTGTCGTTCTCAAATCAGCTGAACTGAACAGGCACTGCTTCTAAATTCCACAGGTTGTGCCCCAAGCAAAAAACTCCATTTCTCACCTTTTCTGAAATATGTATTAAAGAAATCAGCAACAAAACTCAAGAATTGTGCTGTAGTCACTAAACCAATGCAAAAACATGATTCTTCAAAATTCTTGACATACTGTTGATAAACTGAAAACTTACAAAATCAGCTTCCATGGGAACTCCTTGACCATCAAGCTGTTATAGGATAAACTCTTTCTTCTTAATTGCATGCTTAATTATATTAGCCTGAATTTCATATACGAACAGACATATAGTTTATTCCCATATTTGTATTTGCTTAAGTGGCTGCTGATCTTTACCAGTATTTAAGTCATCTGTTCCAGCAGAAAAAAAGTCATGATACACCTATCATATAAAGAATACAAAAATAAGGTGCAATAAAACATATTTGATTGCACTTGTTCCCAGCTCTCTTTTCCATACTCAGATTAGTTTCAGATAGAGTAATATTATATTATTTGACACCTACACACTACAGATCACAGTGAGATTAGGCCTCCAGGCACTGCTCCCTGTTTACTATGTTTATGTTCATACGTGTAATAACAAATGAATCCTTCGGAGACAATTTAACAGAAAGCTGCTGTAGAGATCGATGGTCTTACTGTCGAGGCATTGTGAGCCTCTGGTACTGGCACTCATGTTTATATAGCCAGAGAACTGAAAAAGCTTACAAAACCCAGAAAATTTTGGAAAAAAACAAATAAACAGACAAAGGCTGGTTTAGTATTCACAGCCAGGTCTGATGCTTACACTGACAGACCTGGGGACTGCGCGTGGCTGAAGGGAACAAACTTTTTGGACTTTTTAGCAACAGCCCACAATGAGGTTGAATCGCTCTCCCGTACGATCTCCACAACCTCTGCTGAGAAATCCGCCTCCTTCCCTTCGGTACCTGAGTAGGTGTGCACAAGCCGTAGCCTGTACAGCCGCCCTGCCCAACGTGACCGTTTAATGCCTAACAGACGCCAGCAACGTCGTCTCACCCCCCCCACTCCACCCCCCCT